TATGCATACACATGGGATCTGTTGGGGAACATAAAAGAACTTTACACGTACGCATCACTGTTACTACAGTAGTGTGCTGGAGGTGGCTCTCACCTACAAGCCTATGCTCCTTTTTCCAACACCACGTTCTGTGATCTTGAAATCAGCCACGGTGGGAGTGTTTACACCAGGACAATCAGCCAAATGCTACAAATCAGGGCTGTCTTCTCCCCTAGCCCCCTAGCCAATTGTTAATTATCAGCACATCACTGATTAGATATCATTAAAGTATTTCTTTAAAATTAGTCTCCTTTTATATTTGTAAATTTCTTATATAATAGTTTTAAAATTGTATCTGACTACTTTAAAGATTTCTATTTTTTATTTCTGAAAAGCATTTTCCCTCCTGTATGTCATAATCTATTCCTAACACAGTTCCTAGCCAGAGCTTCCTAACAAAACACCACCACCTTGTGACAACCCCCTAAATTGCAGGTTGGAGTTCCAGTGGGATCAGCCAAGACTGGAGCAGATGGCATTTTCACTGATGTACATTTTAGATGCTTCCTCTGGCCTATCCTTTCAAATTCTAGATTTCTGTGAAGAATTGCCCTGCTTGACTTCATTACAGCCGTGACAGGTGTAACAGAGGTGCAGGGGAGCCTGTGCCTCCAGGGGCATGGTTGATTGAGGCAAAATCTCTGGTGCCTTTGGTCAGTGCTTCTCAGACTTTAGTATGCACATGCTCTCCCTGGGAATCTTGTTCACATGCAGCTTCTGATTCAACAGGTCTGGCATGGGCCTTGCAATCTTGTATTTATTTCTATGGAGCTCTGAGACAACGGTGCTGCTGCTCGTTTGTGGATTATACTTTGAGCAGCCAGGGTTGGTATGGGAAAGAGAAAATGTACCCGGGTGATAGGAATCCTCCCAGAACTTCTCTTAGAAGATTGCCATGGACCATGTTTTGCCTTTTGGGAAGAATTCAATAGCTATGTGTCTTGAATGCATAGACTTAGCTCATTTTATTCTAAATATATTCATCCAATTTGTTGATTTTTAAATTTTAACATTTTTTTTTTACTTATTTGGAGTTTATTTTGGTGTAGTGTAAGGCTCAAAGCCAACTTGATTTTTTCTCAAATAGCTAATCCATTTGTCTCAACATAATTCATTGATTACTCCTCTTTCCACAAATTTGTGAGACCTCTTTATATATGAATTTTCTTATATAGCCTAGGGATTGCTTCCAGACTATTCTATGTCATAGCTTTATAACATATTTTAATGTCCAATGAAGCCAGTCCACCTTTAATAATCTTTCTTGACTGTTATCACCTGATTATGCAGATGAACTTTAATATCACTTTGTCAATAATAAAAGCATTATTGGGATTTTCATTGAAGTATGTTAAGCCTACACATTATTCATTTCATTGAATATACATTGTTCATTCAAAAGAATGAACATTTCAGGAATGTAATATGTCTTTCTTTTGATGTCAGTCACTTTTTATAACTTTTAGTAGAATTTATGTTCTTGACATAGTATCACATTTTTTGTATCAAGTGTATTCCTAGATATGTGTTGCTTTTAGCTGCTATTTTAAATATAATTTATTATTTTATTTTATATTATATCGTATTTTTTGTATTATATACAGTTTTATTTTATACTATTTATATTGTTTTCATATTACAGCCATTAGGCACATGTAGAAATTTAGATTTAAGTTAATTAAACCATAAAAATAAAACATAAAGTTCAGTTCCTCAGTTACACCAGTCACATTTCAAGTCTTCAGTAACCACATATAGGTATTGGGTACCATATTGAGGAGCTCTACCACCATTGCAGAAAGTTCTCTTGCACGAGAGACTTACACGGAGAGGTATTGTCGATCACTCATTTTTTCTTATGTGTTGTTATAGTATCTTATTTTATTTGGGAATACTTTTCAATTTTTTCTTTTAGGCTTCTAGGAAAAGCAGTTGTTTTATACCAGACTTGTGGTTTCTTTTCTGCCGTGGTATTACTCTGATTCTCTTCCTAAAGGAAGGAGGGAGGAATGGCAAACACACTCCCTGAGGGATGCTCCTCTCACGCTTGCCCATGGCAGACATCGCTAATTGATCACAGCACTTTTTGTTTTTGTTTTTGTTTTTGTTTTTTTTTAAATTTTTTTTAACTTTTTTTTTTTATTTATTTATGATAGTCACAGAGAGAGAGAGAGAGAGAGAGAGAGAGAGGCAGAGACACAGGCAGAGGGAGAAGCAGGCTCCATGCACCGGGAGCCTAACGTGGGATTCGATCCCGGGTCTCCAGGATCGTGCCCTGGGCCAAAGGCAGGCGCCAAACTGCTGCGCCACCCAGGGATCCCGATCACAGCACTTTTTGATGTTCCTTGAACCATTGCTGTTTTCAAAACTTACCTCTTAGTTCCCTGCTCTTCTCTGGCTCCTGAGACAGAATAGGACGCAGTGGCAGGTCACGAGGTGTCTTCCCCATGTGTTCTATCCCGGGGAGGGCTCTGATTCCATCTCCTCTGAGTACTTTCCCAATCATCTTTCCTCCGTGGCCCTCCATGGCTCCATTCAGGGAGATCTGTCTTGTCTTTTCCATTATTCTTATTGGCATCTCTGAAGAGGACATCTTTTTCGGCTCACTTTCTTCCCCACAGAAGGTTGGAGGCCCAAGGATAATTTGGGGTCATTTTAAGTCTCAAACAGTTGCAGTCTCCTGCAGGCCATGCTAGTGGCTCTTCCCACACAATACTTTTCTAAAATGTTAGTCGTCTTCCTGTTTGATTCAGCTATATTTGCCATGGACACACCAGGATTGTTTTCTAGACATGCCTCTCAGGATTTAATTGCTGGCACCTGGCACTTGCTAGGCCTCTGTAAGGGAACCACACTTTTGGTTTCTTGTCCTTCCCCATTCCTCTCCCACTGAAAGAATGTACTGGGCACCATCTTGATTGGTTCTTGCCATAAAATTGAGGGTTTTTTCCCCCCTTGCACAGAGTTCTTGAGGTATAATTTACATATTGTATTATTCACCCATTGTAAGTGTACAATTTGATTTTAGTAGATTCATATTTGTGCAGCCATTGCCACAATTAAGTTATAGAACATTTCCACCACCTGGAGAAGTTCCCTCATGTTCCTTTATAGTCAAATCTCAGTCTTGCCCCCAATTCTAGGATTCTTTAATCTTCCTAGCTCTATAAATTACCCTTTTTTAGACATTTAATATAAATGGAATTATGTAATATGTAGTCTTTTGCATCTAGCTTCTTTCACTTAGCATGTTTTTGAGCTTCATACGTGTTGTAGCATGTGTCAGTAATTTGTTCTTTTTAATTGCTAAATAGTTTACCATTTTATAGATATATCACATTTTGTTTATGTGTTCAACAGCTGATAGGCATTTATGTTGTTTTCAAGTTTGGGGCTATTATGAATAAGGTTGCTCTAAACATTTGCGTTTATGTCTTTGTGTGGACATATGTTTTCATTTCTCTTGGGAAGATTCCCTAGGAGTGAAATTGCTGGGTCTTATGATAAGATTATGTATAAGTTTTTAGGAAACTGCCAAATGATTTTCCATATATAATATACCATCTTATCTTCCAAGTAGCAATGGATGAAGTTTCCCATTTCTCCACACCACAAAGCTAAGTTTTAATTAGCTTTTGTTACTCAAAGGCCCTTTCAGTTTTTCTTTTATTGCTTAGTGATGAAATATGTTGGCTCTTCTTGAATTTCTGGACTCTCTCTCTATTCCTTTTCATTCCACTATAAATTACCCAATTCTCTATAAAACCCTTGTCTTTCTTTCTTCCTTTCTTTCTTTTAAAAAAAGATTTTATTTATTTATTCATGAGAGACACAGAGAGAGAGGCAGAGACATAGGCAGAGGGAGAAGCAGGCTCCCTCCGGGGCTCCTGATGCAGGACTTGATCCCAGGACCCCAGGATCATGACCTGGGCCAAAGGCAGATGCTCAACCACTGAGCCCCCCAGGAGCCCCCCTCTTCTTTCTTGTAGTACCTTATCAAACACAGCTAATAGCAACCAAGGCATGCCATTAATATTCTGACTCTCAATCTTTTCACTTAAACCTATAGCTCAGTTCAGTTTATCATCTGCCTTCCTACTGAATGCAGGCCAATGTTTTTACCAGGTACCTCATTACTGCATAACATATATCACCTCCTTCCAGGCTTTAGTAACAGTTTCCTTGACATTCACTGCCTTTCCCAAACACAATGGATTTTTGTTATAGTAGCACGCTACTTCTGATAGCAATTTCTGTATTCATTAGGATAAAAACGTTGTGTTTTTGTGTAATGAATGACCCAAATCTCAGATACTTGTAAAAATTGCAGTTTTTATTCTTCCCATTCATACTACATATCCATCCTGACCAACAATACCTCTACTCCACATCATATTTACCCTAGAACTCAGGGTGATAGAGTCACCACTATCTGGAACATTGCTTGTCTTTGGGAAAGGGAGAAGAGGACTGTGACTTGCAGTAACTCATGCAGTAACTTTTAAAGCTTTCTCTCACATTTTTTTATCAGAGCAGGTGAAGTGGCCAATCCTGACATATATATGGGGCAAAGAAATATAATCTTCCTACAGGGAAGGGCAACAAAGATTGTGCACAACAGTATCATTTATCACATTATGCTTTTGTTTTATATCCTGAGGACCCTGGAGAAGAAAGAAACAGCTGTCTCTATGTGGTGGTTTTGCCCAGAGCCACTCACAGCTAGAGTAAGACAGGGTGTCCTTTCAAAATACCTTACAGACCTAGGCCTTTGAACTTCATGGTGATTGGCTCCCACCTGATACACAGAATTATTATATGCCATTCTTCTGTCTCAACCAGCCCTATGTGTTAGATTCAGGGAGAGATTTGATTGGATGGACTGTCATTTCTAGAGTTTGCTAACCAACATCTAATGTCCTCTGGGGGCATTAATAAATCCATTTTTTTCTTATCTCCAGCTGTCTTTTGGGGAGATATTGCCTTAGATGAAGAGGACCTGAAGTTATTTCACATTGACAAAGCCAGAGACTGGATCAAGCAGTCAGTAGAGGAAGGGGGACATAGCACAGGTAAGTAATGTGTCCCCTATTTTCCTTTCTCTGGGGAGAAGGGTCAGGGGCTCTGGCAAGGGTATATGTGAACAGACATCAGTATATGACCTGTCAGTCCCATGCCCACCTGTCTGTTGAAAACCAGAGCGGTCACTCTTTCTGCATGGCAGGTTGTGGAGCTGGAGCCTCCAGATTTACTGATCTTTGTAAGAAAATCTCCATTTGGGATCCCTGGGTGGCGCAGCGGTTTGGCACCTGCCTTTGGCCCAGGGCGCGATCCTGGAGACCCGGGATCGAGTCCCACGTCGGGCTCCTGGTGCATGGAGCCTGCTTCTCCCTCTGCCTGTGTCTCTGCCTCTCTCTCTCTCTCTCTGTGTGTGACTATCATAAATAAATAAAAAAAAAAAAAATCAAAAGAAAATCTCCATTTGCTTCTTTATCTGAAGGCTCAGGCTCCAGCTCAAGAGGGTTCAGACTTGATCAAACTCAGTGTGGGTTCTCAGGACTTTGGCCTTGGGGTGGGTCCAGCACTTCCCGGACTGGGCCAGTTAGGGCATGTCTGTTGATGCTAATAATGCTTAGCACTGGGAGGAATGTTTGCCTGTGGTGTGCTGTGCACTTGTTTTGCAGATGAACCAGGCAACATGATGGGGCTTCAGACTTTGATTACTCTTCTTCCTCCTTTGCCTCCACCTGGGGGGTGGGAGGATAGTAGTGGGACTAATCTCTTGAGTTCTCACCTGCCCTGCTCACTGGGCTCAGATGCCTCAGCTCTGGGGAATCTCCCTTCTTAGAAACACAGGGGGGCTGCATCGTGAGGCTGATGGGCTGGTGTAGCTCACCATGGCCCGCTATTTGGTGACCAGGGCTCATGTGTACCTGATGCTACACTGTCTCTGCTACCTGCAGCCTCTCCTCCCACCCTCTTTTCTTTCTTTTGAGACTTTTAAAAACATATTCTAGTAAGAATACAAGAGATTTCCTCTCAACAAATTTTTTAAGTACACAAATAGTATTATAAACTATGGGCTCAGTGTGGTATAGCAGATCTCCAGAACTTGTTCATCTCATATAACTGAAGCTTTGTACCATTTTTTTGGCCACCTGTCATGGCCAAGTGCAGTGCTGGAAAAAGAGGAGTAAGATGGGACCTCTGCCTTCAGGGAGACCATTCATGCCAGGCAGACAAGGGTTAGACCTGGACAATCTCTCTGATGTCTCTAAGGTTCAGTTTTCCTATCTGCAAAATGGAGATGAAGCCATCACTCACTCCACAGGGGGTTGGAAGGATCAAGTCCCAAGATAATAGGCTAGCCTGGTGCCTGGCACATAGCAAGTTCTCAGGTAATGGCAGATATTATCGCTGAGGTACTCCCAGTCTAGTGGAATGAGACTGACAGGTGAATAGATAAACCGCAATTCCCAGGGCAAGTGCTGTAATGACCAAGAGAAGTGGGAAGAGAGAGGAATGAGGGGAAGAAGCCAAGAAAGGCATTGTGGGAATGGGCACTCTTGCATTGTGTCTTGAGGATGAGTATGAGTTCTTGAAGTCAAAGAATTGAGAAAAGACATTTCAGGCAGTGGGGAAGCCACATGGGGAGAGTGACAGGGCCTGTCTTCACTTGGGGAATAGCAGTAAGGTGCGCATCACTGGAGGGTGGCTCCTTGGGGTAGGCTGTGGTAGAGATGCATCTGCAGAGGTTGGCAGGGGTAGATGGTGAGGGTGCCTGTTGGAGGGGTGGATGGGAATGTGCCCAGAGTAAGGGGCAACTCCCATGGCTCATGAGGAATATGAGTAGCTCCAGGGACCAGGCCAAGTCCAAGCTCCCCCAGATGCTGGGGGATGAGGGGAGAGCAAGGGGACAAAGGTTGTCAGGAGGTCAGAGGGACCTTGCTGTCAGGAGTTGGGAAGAAGGAGGAACAATTTAGCACTTTAGAGCTTCTTTTTGGTGTCTGGTTCTTTAACTGTAAGTTCTTAGGAGTTTTGAGGCCTCTCATGTATGGTTTGAATTGTCTGTTCGAATTCTAAATGGATTTTTACAAACCAAGTTATTTTTCACACCAATATATATGACCTTAATTGAGCTCTAACAAAAGGAAGTATCTCTTCATAGTTCTACTGTGCCACCTAACCAGTTCTTACCTAGAGGCCTAGAGAAGTTAACCTGATTATAATCCCTGTGTGGTTAAATTTTTAAAACGTTTCTTTTTTGCAATATTACTTAAACATTGTAAGCTTCGCATATCTTAAATATACAAGATTATAGAACTTTTACATATGTCCACATAAATACCACCCAGACCAAGGTGTGAAACATTTCCAGAACCATAGACACTCCCGCATGGCCCTGCCCAATCAGTTCCCATCCCACAGCCGCCACTAGTCTGGCCGCTGTCACAGACTCGTTCTACGTGCATAAACAGAATCACACAGCATGTCTTGTTTGCCTGATTTCACTCAGCCTTCTGACCTTGTTAAGGGAAGTACTTCGTTCTCTCTCATTGTGTGGTATTCTCTTGTGTGACTGAATGCTCATGTAGTCATCCTTCTATTGAGTTCACGGTCTTGGGCTATGATTAATCAAGCTGCTGCTGACATTCTTTTTTTTTTTATAAATTTTTTTTTATTTATGATAGTTACACACACAGAGAGAGAGAGAGGCAGAGACATAGGCAGAGGGATAAGCAGGCTCCATGCACCGGGAGCCCGACGTGGGATTCGATCCTGGGTCTCCAGGATCCCGCCTGGGCCAAAGGCAGGCGCTAAACCACTGCGCCACCCAGGGATCCCTGCTGCTGACATTCTTATACATGTCTTTTGGTGAACACAAGCACTCGTTTCTACTGGGCAGTTAGAACTGGGATTGATGGGTCATAGGCTACGAAAGGTCAGCCTTAGTAGTTACTGTTTTCCAAAGTGGTTGTAAAGGTTTACATTGCATGTGGGTGCATAGCGATTTGGAAGGCAGGAGCAGTGACCATGCAAGATCCAATGAGGACTTCTGGGGCTTGGTCTTCCTGACTTGGGGACCCTTCTCACATATTCTAGGCTAGCACATCAGTTAGTTGGCACTAATCCACCAACACAAATGTTCAGGGTCACCCCTATCAGTGATCCTTGTGTTGTCCCTGGGGTGCTTCCATGCCATAGCATGGAGGCCCATCCTTAGCAAATGTGAGTGGGAGACCCCAGAGAGACGCTGGGAGTGGCCGGCCACCATGCCAGCAGTTGGCCAGCTCCTGGAGAGCTGTCTGCCCAGAAGATTGCCTCAGGATGCTGCAGCAAAGGGAAGCCCAGCAGCCCGGCCTGCGCCTCCCTCCCGACACTCCCCTAAGGCCAACATGGTCAGCCTCTGGTCTACGAACTTGAGTAGTCTCTTTACTTCTTCACTGTGAACTCAGAGAGGGCTGAGTCCACATCATATTTGTCTTTGGATCCTTTGGAGGTGGCCCAGTCCTTTATACCTACAAGACATTGGCCAACATGTATAGAGAGGAAGAAGGAAGGGGTTGGCAGAGACTGGAAGACCCTGGAACCATCTCCTATGGGCCTAAGAGCTCCAACAGGGATTTGCTTCTAGAAGGGTGATGAAAGCACTGGTTGTTGTCATGGGCTTTAGGATCAGACTTTCTGGGTTTGGATCCTTGATCTGGGCCTCAGTTTCTTCATCTATCAAACGGGAACAGTAGTGTTTTAAGGACAGAAAGAATGTATATAAAATGCTTACCACAGTGCCTGGCTAATAAAAACTGCTCAATAAATAGCAACTCTGACACCTCCTCATTAGGAGGAGTAGCAGTATTTGCAGAAAGCAGAGTGGCCTGGGAAGGTTTAGGCTAAAGTGGAGAGTGGGGGAGATTTGCTATGTGCTGGAGGGAACATTGGCAGCTTGCGTCTGAGGCCTTTGAAACACGTACCTAACTGGTGTTTCCTCCTTCCGAAGCTTGGAATTTTTTTTTTCCTTTGGTCTGCTCTTATGGCAAAGTGATTTTTATCCTGATCACTTTTCTCTGTGGGCCAGTAGTACTTCACAACTATCTAGCATAGTTATTTTATTTTCAGAATGGGAATTTTTAAAATTGTTTTTGCTGATTAAACTAATACTGCCAGTTTTTGTTTTTTGTTTTTAAAGTCCAATAGCTCAAAATTGTAGAAAGTAAAAATCTCTAGTTCTCCCAGCCCCAGGGTTCCGTGTTATTATCTGTTTGCTGGATTCCTTCCAGCCTCACTGGGCTCAGGCTGTGTGCACACAGAGATTTTTAAAACATAGAAGGGATTTCGCTCATACCCTCTTGTGCAACCTGCATTTCAGTTAATACCACTGCATAGACATCTTTTCATGCAGTACATTATGAGCTAGCACATCTAATGTACAACTCTGCCATAATTCGTCAAACCAATCCCATACAGATGGGCATGAAGAGTGTTTCCCTTTTCTTCCTGTAATTCTTCCCAGTTAGAAACAATGGTGTTGTGAGCAACTTTGTGCATCGATCCTTAAACATTTGCTTTGATTAAAAAAAAAAAAAAAAAAGTATTTTTAAATTTAGGTTTTCATTTCCTTTTTTTTAAAATTTAATTTATTTATTCATGAGAGACACACACACACACACACAGAGGCAAAGACACAGGCAGAGGGAGAAGCAGGCTCCATGCAGGGAGCCCAATATGCGACTCAATCCCAGGTCTCCAGGATCATGCGCTGGGCCAAAGGCAGGTGCTAAACCGCTGAGCCACCTGGGCTGCCCTAGGTTTTTATTTCTAAGCTTTGGTCAGTGCCCCTGTGTTTTAGGGGAGAGAAGGAGGTTCAAGGGGAGGGGCTGCTAAATCCCTGGGAGGGAGGGCTTATAGGGGGAAGGGTTCAGAACCCTGCAGTGTAGCCCCAGAAGCCTTCTTTCCTGGTCCATCCTGTGAGTTTGGAGCTGCTTTCTTGGCTGCAGAATGACACAATATCATTGCCCTCGAGGTAACCAAGGTGGCTTCCTTCCATAGGTGTTCCCAATGTGTTAAATTCAGT